CAGGAATCTGTTGTGAGACACAATATTTATTAATAGGAAAATGCACTGAGGAGCCAATAGGCTGATTTCAGCTGAGGCTCAGTTTCCCTTTACCAGACAAAAGCCTGTCTCCAATGGCAGTAGCTTGCTGCCCCCGGAGAGGTGAGAGGTAAAAGCATTTTGGTCAGCTGGAGGCCCTTGCTCAGGAAATTATAGTTTCCAGGAGCAAGAATTTAGATCAGCATTGCCTGAAACTGGGATATTTCAGCTGAGAGTGAACAGAAACACTTAGGAGGAGTGAAGGGTGTGCTGTGGACACCTTCTGATGGATAAGTGGGCTAATACTGCTAACATATTTTATGTGAGATTCTGAATACTTATGTACAGTAAAGCATTTGGTGACCTGAAACTGGCCTGATTTTTTGCGGACTGATTGAATGTTGAAAGGTTTGATGTGATATTACTGAGTCCTAGAGGCAGTCTTCGAGGTAAGACTCATAGGAAAAAGGGAAAAAAGGAGGCAGCATAACCTTAAGAGTGATCAATTGCAGCTTCCCTGAGGAGAAAGAAGTGTTAGAAAAATGAATGAGATAGTCTCTTCAAAAGTGAAATTTTTGAGCTGATACATGACTCTGAGAAGGACACAAACGCTCCTATAAAACATGAAGCAGTACAGGCTACAGACCCCTAACTAACTGCTGAAGAAAAAAAAATCCCTTACTTCTTAAACTGTTGCTTGATCAAAGCAGTAATACAATGCCTGATATATCCCTGTGCTTAGCTCTTTTGCCTTCAAACTGGTAGACAAACAGAATGCCTTGAAGCAATGATCTACTTGTTAGATATGTTGTAACAAGTAAAACCAGTTGTGGGCAAATGGGCTTTGTTCCATAGGAAAGGAGAGAGCAGAGTAAGGAGAATGTAATTGTTTGAATTCCCTCAGGTGGCATAAACATACCATGCGGTATTTTGGTGAAATGAACATCACATTTTCAACTGCTGCGTAGAAGCATAAAAGGCAATAGGGACCCCAGCAAATGACCAGTGTCTTCAATGGTAAACCAGTATTAAACTGAAAAACAAGAGCAATAAATTCCTTTGTGTTTCACAACCATACACTGCAACAAAAGGATGTGATACATCCTGTGAGACTATGGTTTGTGTTCAGTAGAGGAGAGGACCAGTCAGCAGGATATGCCCTACCGTGTCTGATTTGCTGTCGATGTCAGAGGTGTGTGAGCACAGCTCCCTCTGTGGCGAGGGCTGCCTGTGCAGCAAGGCCCAGAGCCCTGTTCTCAGGAGCTGGGTGAGGGGTGGCCATTGCTCCTGGCCAGAGGTGACAGAGCACCTTATGGTAGATCAGTTAAATCGGTATGTGGGCTAGACGTGGAAGTTAAGGCCAGTAATTACTGCTGTGGGGAAAGGCAATGTGTAAATTTAAGAACAGATAGGAACAATATTTCGCTGACATCTTAGAGGGTCTTGCAGGCAAATAAACTGTGTGAAGCCACTACTACAGCAGTTCAACAGATAGATGCAGTGGCATCTGCATTGTGGTAGTAGGATTCTTGTGTTCTTCATGGTAGGGTCATGTCTGTGGTAAGCATTTCCCTTATGAGGAGTGGCTGAGGGAGCTGGGTCTCTTTAGCTTGGAGCAGAGGAGACTGAGGGGTGACCTCATTCGTGTTTATAAATTTGTAAAGGGCGAGTGTCAGGAGGAAGGAGCCAGGCTCTGCTCTGGGATGTCCAATGACAGGACAAGGGGCAATGGGAGCAAGCTGGAGCACAGGAGGTTCAATCTGAACACGAGGAAAAGCTTTTTTACTGTAATGGTTACAGAGCACTGAACAGGCTGCCCAGAGAGGTTGTGGAGTCTCCTTCTCTGCAGACATTCAAAACCCGCCTGGACGTGTTCCTGTGTGACCTGGTCTGGTGATCCTGCCCTGGCAGGGGTTGGACTGGATGAGCTTTCAAGGTCCCTTCCAGCTCCTAAGATTCTGTGATTCTGTGGTTCTGTGTTCATGGCCAGCTGTTTCCAAGTATCTCATAAATTTTAATGAATAGGGACATGCTAATTTCATCCTTAATTTTTCTGCATCATAACTGGTCTGCACAGTTACAGAATACAATAAGACAGAAATCTGTTATTATTATTTCTATTGAATCTATTATTTCTATTCTTGTAAGAAAGAAAATCTATTATGCTATAGCATAAACTTACTGAAAAAGAAAAAGGTAATTGATGTATAATAATGAACACTGAGATTTGTTCAAGAAATATGTAGAGGGCACATGTATATATTCCAGACAGCTACAAACCAATCTGCCTGACTGTCTCTTTGTTGGTATAGCATCCCCCTTGGGAACTGACTGTCTTTACTGAGGCCAGAGGTTGGGCTGTGCCTGCCAGTAATACATAGAGCCCCAGACTGTATAGCCTGCACCTAAGGAAACAACTCACGTAATCACCACATTACATTCCCATAAACCTGCCATGCCAGAGCAATTCCTTTGTTTCCAGATCATAAAGATTTCTGAATTCTCTCAGTCAAGTGTAAACACAGCATGTTTAGGAAGGCCCTTTTCTCCCCATGAGGTGCCTGTGTGTTTCCTTGCAGCATTGCTGTTCTGGCTGACTTCCTCAGTGATAAGCTAAAAACCTGGAGCAAGGCAGGAAACAATGATCCCTCCTGAGCAAAGGCTCTCTGGATAAGTATTGATATGCTATTAGCAAATATTCTTCATGCTTCAGAATATTCTGCTGTTTTGCGACTGGAGTTGGACCAGCACTGATGGAGAGGAATTCTCCAGGTCGCTAGTCTGACTCCCTCTTTGACAGAGAACTGTTTACAGCACTAATTCAGGCCAGATGTGGCTGTTTGGTCAAATCTTGAAATCTCTAAGGATGGGATTGAACTTTCTAGGGAGCCCCATCTTTTGTCGCACTACTCCTACTCAAGTAACACTGGGGAGTTAGGACAAAAGGAGCTGAGCCAAAAGCCTCCATGAAAGAAATTGGATTTTTGAGGACTTGGTCTCTAGTGGATGCAGCCCTATTTTGGCAAGGCAGGTGCAGGAGCTGAGGAAGCTTTCTTACCTTATAATGCCCACTTTTCTTGAACTTCTGATGTATAGACTGATAGGCTGTCAGTATGATGAAGCCCGGGATCATGAAATTGAAAATGGACAGAGCAAAAAGGAACGTGATGTAGTTTCTGGAAAGGTTGAGGAGGGGAAGAAAAAAAAAAAGGGTTGTTAATTCCTCTCCAGGGCATCTTTGTAAACTTGTTGCAAATATTCATTCACATATATTTTTAAAATTGCCAAACACAGTTTCATCAACATGCTATAGGCACAGCATTTTTTGAAGGCTGGTTAAGTTGTGCCATGCTGTTGTGTGTGGGATGGGTAGTACTGCAGAAATTCACAACAGGTGTTTGGTTTATAAACCCAAGCATCGCTACTCAGACATCAGTGCTGGACTGCACAAAACCATTCTTAAAGAGGTTCAAGTCCTAAACCCAGAAAAGTTGCTGCTTATAGATGACCAAGTAGCAAGGGAGTAGCAGAAACCTGAGCATCAGCCTCTCCCACAGAGGAAGCGGACTTAAGTTGTTCCCACATGCCACCACATGAGTCAAGGTGGCCTCACATTGTGCCTGGCTTGCCCCAGCAACAACAATGATGGAGCACAGTTGGGAGTTTTGGTGTGCTGCTGAGACCATCCCAGGGCATGGCAGCTTCCACCCTCTGCTTCTGTGGGAGCTGGCCCTGGCCCTCACCTGCCCCCTTTGCTGTAGTCCAGGGTGCAGCACGTTCGGAGGGGTTCATAGTCGTATTCCCCCCATCCCAGTAAGGGCATCACAGACCAGAAGGCAGCAAACAGCCATGCAAACATGATCATGGAGATGGCTGTGCTCCACTGCAGCTTGCTCCCTGCAAAAAAAGAAAAGCAGGACTTCATGCCTGAAACAAAACCACCGAGCAAGGCTGTTTCACTCTGTGAAGCCAGAGCCAAGAGGCCCAGACTCTGGGCAAAACCAAGCAGTTGTCTGTGTTTTGTAGCCTGAAGCTGACCTGAGTGTGAAGGGATCAACCTTGCATAAAATCTGAAGGAAGCTTTTAGACTTTAGGAAACAGCAAACTGTATTTCCCTTTCATGTGCTTTACTCAGACAAATGCCATGTTGCTGCTCAGCTTTGGACCACACTGGAGATACAGCTGCTGCTACAAACATGATATTGTTGTGTTTTGGGAAAGTGCTTAAATACTCAGATGAGGCAGAAAGTACAAGGCACAGGGTGATGCAATAAATAGTGTTAGAAGGACTAGAGCCCCAGTGCAGGGCGTGAGTCAGATCAGAAATGTGACTCTGCACACACTCCCCAGCCCCTGCCTACTCCCTTCCTGGAGCGCAGGGCACGCATGGTTATTAAATACACTCCATTCTAAAATCACTGCTCATAAATATATATGTGAGTATATATATACACACACAGCCTAACAACAGATCTTGTTCTAAAAATACTGCTAGTCAAATTATTCTGCCCTTAAGATCTTTGCTTAGTGGAACAGGAAATGTGAAGCTCAACAGTAGTATTTTTTTCTAATTTTATAATAAGAATGATCACTTGTGCCTGTCTCATCCAGTTCCATAAAATACCACTGAAATAGGGCAATGAATGAAATGAAAGATTGGAAACTTCAGAAGACAGAGGAAGTATTTCTTTATGAAGAAGGCAGGCAGCTTTGTGGCTGCTGCAGGACATTGTGTTAGCCTCACTGCTTGCGTGTAAAAAGGCCTGGATAATTTCGTTATCAAGGCTAATGTCTGTAATCATGTCCATGCTGAATAGCCCATGACGCCAGCTGTACCAGTAAGGAGCACGGTGATTTTGCCCAATACTCCTTCCTAATCAAATCTCCTATTAGGGAGAACTAACGATGCAATTTTCACTGAGGCTGGGAAGAAATCTTTTCATCTGCCCTTAACAGCAGCGTCAAGACAGCAAGCCATGAAGATTCAGGCCGATTCTGACCTTTCTCAAAAAGGTGAAGGATTGAAGGCGAGATGCATGAGGTGAGGCCCTGCCATGAGATCGAATGTGGCGAACTCATGGGTGGAAAGCACGTGGGGGCCACGCAGGCTGGAGATCCCCATAAGACAGCAGCCCTGGGAAGGACCGCAAAGTCTACAATAGCTATTTTGTGTTGTACTGTCCTTGTTTATTTTAAAAGATAATAAAGTAGGTGTGTTAGTGAAATTGTCCTTTTACAGGAATGCTGATTCTACCCCCTCCTGTCCTTTCTTTTATCTTCCAGAGGTTCTTCAGGGGAAAGAATTAGAGCTTGAATTGCATTAAAAATCAACTTTGAAAAATTATTTGATGCAGGTGTTGACATAATATGACTCTAGAATGATATAGATGAAAATAAAGGAATAGTTTCTGACTTTAGGGAACTAGAAATATGAACCAAATTTTTTAGCAATTTGTAATTATTCTTAACCTTCCAGTCCAAAGAGGTAATGTAGCTTACGGTTTGTCTTTCAGAATTGCATCCTATTTAGTTGTATGCTCAAACAAGCATGTTAGAGTTGTTACTCCCCCAAGGTTTCCATTTCCATTTGTGTTCTACATAACAGTTTTTGTAGCTTGGCTTTACACAACTGTAACTTGAAATTCAATCAAGACAAAGCTTATTACACAAGCTGTCAGGTTTGGTTTGTGTTTTACATATCCTAGCAATTTTTTAAAGCCACTATCAAAAGCAGCTGCAGTGAAACCTGGATCTGAATTATATTTCTTTTAAACTAGGCTCATGCCGAAAGTAGCTTTATTGCTTTGGGAATACAGTTTTGTAAGTGGTAAGCCCTCCTGATATTCTAAAAAAAACCAAACTAAATCTTGGGATTTTTTTTGATACTCAGCAAGCCCTATAGAATAGTTAATACCAATTATATTTCATGGTGTCTTGTGGCAAAAACTTTGCTCTCTTTCCACCTCCTCCTTTTACTTCATGGAATACCGCAATATTGTGAAATTCTCAAAATGTGATGGGCCATAACTGAGGCACTTTAGTGTCACTGACCAGTACCTTATGGATCCTTGCATGGACCAAATTTGCCCTCAGCTGCTCAGACAGTGTTGGTGGCATGCTGAAGGCAGCCCTTGAGTGCCTGCACTGGCAGAGGATGGCTGATCCAGCTGCCTGTATGCATGTGTGGGGGAGTTGATGGAGATCTCAAGATCTCACCTTCTCTGCTGTTGCCTTGCACAGAAAAGCAGGGAAGCGTCTTGCTCCACTCTCTCCCATCACCTCCAGGGTCTTTCACAGTGCCCAGTCTCTTGATGTCACATCTTTCCTCTGGTCTCATGTGCTACTGGCTGGGGTGCGTGCTGGCAACAAGGAAGTT